AGGCTGAAGTCTACCTGCTTGCTCACAGAAGAGGTCCCCCCCCTAATCCCAGGCACATAAAAGTACCTTCCCGTTGGGGACGACCAAAATGAATTCTGCACATGCTCCAAAGCACTTTCTTGGCTACTACTTCACATGTGCTTGAGCTGGCATGAAAATCAGGTTCTGGGGCTGAAGGCTAGCAAAAGCCTAAGCCCGGGGCCAATTCAGACATGACCCAAAAGATGTGCACTTAGGAATTTCCATAGGTTTCTTTAAACAAGATGCTTGGGCAGGAGAGTATTTGGACTGGGGCCAAAATGCATGGGGAGGTGGGTTTAACTCCCCATGCCACTCCCCAGGTCTCTGTGGTTCCCCCACCACCACTATGAGAAGGTAAAACATATAGGGATCTGTGCGAATGTGTCAGATTATCATTTGATTATCTCCTTCTACCTGAGTGGCCGGGGTTCCAATACCTTTACCACCACCCCACCCCACTCCTTTTGATCATGGATCAACCAGATCACATTAAGATGTCAGATGCTGGGACTCAGATGTGCAAGCATATTCTCAGAAGCCAATTCACTTGATCAGCGTAGCCACAGCACTTGCACATTCAGGGAGGTGCACCAGGGAGGAGACAGAGCATCCTAAGGACACTGCGATTGGCAAACAGAAAGGGATGCCTTCCCCCCCAGCCTTTCCCCAACTCACCAGCACAAAGGTGTAGAGAACACGGGTGATATCGTTGGTGTACAGGCAGTGGGAATAGTCCCCTTCTTCCCAGTGGCCTGTGCGGTCACAGCGTCGCCATGCTTGCTTCTCCAGGCCGGGCCCCCCGTTCCCAGAGGTGAAGGGGTACTGCAGGCAGGACTGGTAGGCAGTGATGCCAGCCAAGGTGCGTGGCCATCTGTTGGCAGGGAGAAGGGCAACCAGTTGAAAACAGGAACTGCCTTGGGATGGACACCGTTGGCAGTGGTCAGCCACTGTGCTAGTCTGGGGCCCTGTTTTGTCCTTGACAATCTTGTACCTCTGGGTTTTTAAAAAGAATGTAAAGAACCAGCTGCCCATTCTGAAATACTACAGCAACAATGCCACAACAGCTGCTTTGGAGAAAAGGCTTTTCCATCTGGGGAGGTGGATATATGGCATTCCCCACTTTGGCAGACTTCCAATATGCTCCCCACACTGTTCCTTTGGGTCCACCGACCCACATGGGTGCAATTTCAGGGGGCACAGAAAGCTGCAGTGAGACACGGGAGGCTGGGAAGTTGCCTTCCTCTAGCACAACTTGGCTTCTGTTGCCCGGCAGCCACATCTGATTGGTAAAGCCCTCCAGGGACCTTACAGTTTTCAGGTTACTCACATCTGAATGTAAAAAACAAACATATATTTATTTCATTTATATCCTGCCTTTCTCCCCAGTGGGGACCTGGGCTTACAACTTTCTCCTCTCCTCCATTTTATCCTCACAACAACCCTGTGAGGTGGACAGGTGGAGTGTGCCACTGGCCCAAATTCACCCAGTAAGCTTCCAGGGCAGAGTGGAGATTCCAACCCGAGTCTCCCAGGCCCTAGCCTGACACTCTAAGCATGCTGGCTCTCAAATGGCATACGGGGAGGGTGGGATAAAAATCTAAATAATAAATAAATAAATAAACAAACAAACAAACAAATAGAAGGTGGATCTAGGTTCCAGCTCTCCCTTCATGCAAACTTTCCCAATGCCAGGAGTTGTGGGGCTGAACATTAAGGAACATTCAACTGTACTATTGTGGCAGCCTGAAGCTTCTACACTGCTGTGTTTCCTCCCTGACACAATGGCTCAGTTCAGATATTCTAGAAGCCTAACTGTGGTTCAGTATGATGCCTGGATTGACAAACCATGGCTTGTGACGGTGAAGGATAAGCAAACCTGTATCAAACTACAGTTTGCTGCAGGTTTGCAAACCACAGGTTGTGCTCACCATTCTCGTCGCCATTGTTGTGTAGTGGGTTCGATGCATCGAATGATCAGGAAACAGAGTGATAGTCAGCACATGTTTACTCGTACACAACATAACAGAGAATACCGGCCAGATGGCCAACTATATACAGTCCCTGTGGACCACCCCCAGGTCCCATTGGTGGGTTTAAACTTCCCGCCAAAGTCCCTATTGGTGACCGCATTTATTTATTTATTTAATTTCATTTATACCCCGCCCTCCCCGCGTGCGGGCTCAGGGCGGCTTACAGTATACAGGTGCAATACAACACCATAATTCCATAATCAAAGCACACAGTGCAATAAAATACAGTTAAAACATTTTAAAACAGTTAAATACAGTGGGCAACGCCGAAGGATCCAGTGCGACTGACACACTCACTCCCTACTGCACATACCCTTGAGTCAAAAAGGGAGGATGCTATGGCCCCGATGTTCAATGGCCAATCAGCCTCGTCCAGCGGTGCTGCTTTGCAGGTCCCTGTTGGTGGTGGTAGTGGCGGCGGCGGCTCCTATTCGAAAGCCTGGCGGAAGAGCTCCGTCTTACAGGCCCTGTGGAACTGTAAAAGGTCCCGCAGGGCCCTGATCTCCTCCAGGAGCTCATTCCACCAGATAGGAGCCGCCACCGAGAAAGACCTGGCCCTTGTGGCAGCAAGCCTGGCCTCTTTAGGGCCCGGGGTCGTAAGGCGGTGTTGAGACCCCGACCAAAGTGCTCTTTGGGGCCTGTGTGGGGAAAGGCGGTCCCTCAGGTATGCCGGACCCTGGCCATGAAACCGGTCCGCATGAGGTTTCAGGATCCTAGTCCCTATTGTCTCTTGAGAGTCAAGCTCTGGTGAACGTTGCTGTCTCCTAGTGCCGGTCAGTGGACATAACAGAAATCAACAACCATCCCTCCTGTGAAGAAACATCCCAGATCATAGTGGTGTGTATTGGTAGCTGATTTCACATCTCAGTGTTGTCAACAGAAACAGATGCTGACCGGTTTCTTGTAAAATGGCTCTAGCTACATTACTACACATGGATTATATTTTCATAATCATTGATATGCATGTTGTGTGTTTTATTGATATATGTGTGCTCTGCTTTTTGATGCTGAAAATGGATTGTTATCTAGAAATGCAGTGTATTAAAAACCTAAACTATTCTATGGAGGCTTTCTAGTACTTTGTCTTAATTTCTGTTAAACAGAAGCCTCTTTCTTCCCTCTGTTTGTGATGTCTGAATTGGCACCATCTTGCCTCCAAAGGCTCCTAACATCAGAAGTGGAGCATCAGCTCTATGGGCCACTAAGCAGATACAAAATGCAGGCAGGGAACCTGCTCTCAGCCATGGTGTTCTGTCTGTTTAGAAGTTCAAACCATGGTTTGGGGTTTAGACCATAGGTTTGCTGTTATGCCAAAACTGAGCCAATGTCTTTCCTTCAAAAATGGCAAAGATTATTGTCTTCTTCCACATTTGGATTAGAGCTTTGCTGGCCTGAGATGATGTAATACTGAACAGAGGGAAATTAAGGCCTTGCAGACAGTTGCGTGTCTAGGATGGAGACCCTCTCAGGGGAATGCACAAGGGGGCTGGGAAAGCCGGGAAAGGGGCAGGGGCCATGTCTGCCTAGGAAGCAGCTCCACCATGGGGGAGGAAAGCTTTCATGCTGTGCCACAGGGTTTGCAACAGAGAACAAACTTCAGACGCCAAGAGTTTTATGGGGTAATTTATTTGCCTCCCTGGAACTCTCTGCCTGGCCCAGCTGCTTCAACATCTGGCTCATGAGAGTCTTCCTACGCCCCCTCCCCCTGTGCCGGCAGCAACAGCTGGATGGATTGGAAGAATGCATACGGAGGTCACATGGGTCCCCTTCCCCCAATGTCTATGCAGGCACACGGACCTCCCTGCCACGGGCTGTCCCTTGCAAAGACAACCCCACCATCCTTACCAGAGTTTCCAGGGGCCTTTGTTTCTCAACAAAGCGGTTCCGGAGGCATATATCCGGGTGGGTTCTGGCAAGCAGGTCTGCCAGAAAGACCTTGGTATCCATGCTCAAAGAACCCATATCAAACTGGGAAGGAAGATTAATCACTTTTGTTTTATGGGTTAGTGTTTGTAAATGGATACAAGTTGACAGTTTAATGTATGTTTTTGTAATGTTGAATGTAAAATTGATGTTGTTTATGATTATGAAAATTAATAAAATAAAAATATTTTTTTAAAAAACCAGGAAGGAAACGCTGCGTGCCCCCCCTCACCTCCGTTCAGAACAATCTTCCATCTGCCCACTAAATCAAACCTCTTTCCCAGGAAAATACAAAACTTCCAATCAGATTGCAAAGCGGAGCGGAGAGAAACGGCCCTTTTTGGACGTGGCACAGTGAGGCTATCTAGAGCATCTCTCTCCCCTTCCAGGATCCAGTGTGGTTTTGGCACGGGAGGACTGTTTGCTGAGCGTGCCAGCTCCCCCTGTGCCCTGCTGTGGGTCAGGCCTCGATACCCTCCCGGGGTCCCAGTCTGACCGCACGGTGGGTGGAGCACTCCAGCCTCCCCTGGGACTTTGGTGCTGTTTCCCCTGCATCTAACTGCAAGCCATATCCTGCTCATGCAGAGCGTGGAGGCGGAAAGGGGGGGTGGGGTGGAGGAGAAGGCGAACCCGCTGTTAATTCAAGCCACATTGACTGCACAGTAATTTATATTCCATAAAGACCCTGCCGAGGTTACGGCTGGCTCCATAAGCCTTTTTTCTCTTGCCAGAGAAATTCCAACACCTCTGCTTCTGGAGCCTGTCTACGCTGCCAGAGCCGGGCCTCTCCTGCCGCCTCCCTCTCAATGGCTGCTTAATCATTCCCAGGCCCGGGCTGCCAGAGAGAGACGAAGCCACCCCTTCTTTTCCATAAGAGGGGCGGTGGACCCAGGGGCCCGAAGCTGGCTCCCCCCACAACAGCTGTGGCAACGTCGCTCCCTCTAGATCGAAAATGGTGCATGTGTGCTTTTATAATGAGAAAGAAACACACACCCCCTCCAACGGCAGATGCACAACTTCCAACCTGGTACTGAGATTTTGTGTGCCCCGATGAGGGCTGCAAGGGGTTCCCGGCCCCACTCTGACAGCCGCTGGCGCAGCAAAAGCCACATCTCTCCTGCATTCCTTGCACGGCCGGAGAAACACACCAGTCTGGGATGAGCCTGCCTCCCCTGCAATTCCACCAGAATGGCAGCAGAGGGCCGACGAGAGAAGGAAGCACACGCGACTGCCCGGTGGGGCCCAAAGGCTGCCCCAGAAGCTCTGTCACCCCCATTGCCTCCTTCTCTCCAGCTCCTGAACATGACAGGGTAACTTCTAAGGAACAACACTGGCAAATTTTGAGCTGGATTTGCAGTGTAACAGCAGCCGTTTGTTTAATTTTTAAAGTTTCGATTCCTCATTGTTCTGAAAACACGTGGGAAAAGACACTGCAAGCTCAGTGAAAATACTTCCCTCTTATCAAATGAAATGTCCCGCTTTGCCAGCTGGTATGAGCACAAAAGGAGTCAGAAGCTGGGAAGCATGGCGGCCTCACCTTGATACAGTATTCAGATCAGACACACATGCATGCTTCTGCCTTTGGGGTGGAGCAGGCCTGTAGCCAGCAGTGGGGCACTGGGGTGCGGTGCCCCCTATTAATTCTGCAGCGCCCCCTTCCCCTTCTTTCCCCAATCTTTCCCAGAGAGCTTAAGCTGCGTCACGCTAGCCCGAAGCTATTTCCGCCATATGACACATGACAAATTCCTGAGACATATCTGAGAAATCAGCCATGCTCATGGAGAACATTGAGACCTAAAAACCTGACTTAAAAAAAAAATCGAAGAAGCTGTACCCATTATGCATAAGACAAGTGGAGGGAGCCCACTTCATCGCATATTGGCCCTTTCCTTGGAAGTCTATCACAGGGACCACTAATCCTGAGTGTTCGTGTCCACGGCTGCACCGGCTCCTACCTGAAGTCTCCACGGTTGTTGGTGACCCGCTCCGCTGGGCAGTAGGATGCCGATGTCTCCAGCACAACGATCTCCACCTTCTTGCTAACGTTGCCCTGAGCGGTGGAGAGGGTGCACTCCCATTCGCCACTGGCCGAGACATGGATGTTGGACAGGATGAGCTCGCTGGGGACAGACAGTGTTTTCAGAAGATGCACAGACCTAGTCGGTAACCAGCTTGACAGGAGAACCATTTTGAACCAAGAATGCAGCATGCAGTCATCTGGCTGAAACGATATTCTCACTACCTGATAAAAAAGGCCTTTCAGTGCCTTCTCTGAGCACAGGAGAGAAGCAATCACATAGACTCTATACCCTGTAACTTGTTGCCCCTGGCCAAAACTAGAAGAGTGGGGTCTCGTTGCCAGACTCTTTAAACCGGAGAAGCCCATGTCTCATACCTGGTGATGAAGGTGCAGTCGTGGACCAGGCTCTCCTCCAGGATGATCCCGCTGCGTTCATCCCCCTGGACCAGGGCACGGTTGTGATGCCACAAGATGTGTGTGCTGTTGTCCAGGTAGGTGGCTGTACACTGGAAAGGGAGGCGGTCACCTTGGAAGACAACTTGCCGCAGTGAAGGGATCAACTGGTGGGTGTGCAGCTCTGGGGCACCTTCTGGAGGGAGGACAGCAAGACTTGTTCAGGCTGTGCAGGACGGGAGACCCCCAAGTAGTGACCTTGTCCCGGCCCCAATTGGTTTGCTCATTTTCAAAACAACAAAACCAGTATCCTCGATTTGGATATTTATGGAATTATGCAACTAAAGAACTCTGCAAACATTTTATTTTACTTCCTTAAAACATTTTGATGCTGCCTTTACCCAAAGGGGGTCCCCCCAGGCAACGTAACATTCTATCCCCGACAGACTCTGGCAAAGGGAAGTCCTGCCTCACCAGCCTTTTAGAGCTCTGTGAGAAAGTGAACAAACATGTAGATAACAGGGACCTGGTAGGCATTATATGCTTGGGCTTTAGGCTTTTGACAAGGTACCTCATCAAAGGCTCCTGAGTAAGCTTAGCTGTCATGGGGTATGTGGATGCATCCTTTTATGGATTAAAAATTGGTTAAACAGGAAACAATGGGTGATTTCCCACAAGCGCTGCTCCATGCTCACTCCTCCCTTTTGCCCCAATGGTACATGTCAATTTCACACAAGCTGCTGCGTGGCCACATTTTGCCCCACAGCTTCGCGCGATTTTCCCCGCGTCTACTCAATCTTTAAAAAAAACAGGATTGAGTAGACGCGGGGAAATCACACGAAGCTGCAGGGCAAAACGTGGCCGCGCAGCAGCTTGTGTGAAATTGACACGTACCATTGGGGCAAAAGGGTAAGCGTGGAGCAGCGCTTGTGGGAAATCACCCAGAGAGTAAGACTACACGGACAATTCTCTGAATGAAGTAAACAGTGGGATCCCACAAGCATTGCTATTGGGGAGTGGTCTGATTTGTTTGTAAATGATCTGGAACTGAGGGGTGAACAGTGTAGTAGCCAAGTTTGCAGACGACACAAAACTATTCAAGATGGTGAAAACCAAGGTCAACTGTGAAGAGCTCCAGTCTGATTGCCACATACTGTGTGAGTGGGCAGCAATATGGCAAATGAAATTCAAAGTAGGCAAGTGTAAGGTGACCCACATTGGAACAAGTAATTCCAACCTCAGGAATATGCTGATCGTTTCTGAACTTGATGAGACTGAGAAGGAAAGAGACCTTCCAATCGTAGTGGGTAGCTAAATGAAAATATCAGCCCCGTATGCCGCAGTGAAAAAGGAAAACTCTGTGCTGGGGATTATTAAGAAAGGGACTGAAAACAATACGGGCACTATTATAATGCCTCTGTATAGATCTACGGTGTGACATCGTTTGGAATACAGTGCAGAGTTCTGGTCACCCTATCTCATAAAGAACAGTGCAGAGCTGGAAAAAGTAAAGAAGATGGCAACCAAGATGCTGAAGGGGTTGGAGCACTTTTCCTGTGAGGAAAGGCTGAAGAGTCTGGGACTTTTCAGTTTAGAAAAGAGGCGACTAAGGGGGGACGTGATAGAGGCTTATAAAATTTTTGCATGGGGTGGAGAGAGCTGATAAATAGACATTTTTTCTCCCTCTCCCAAAATACTAGAACTTGAGGGCATCCAATGAAGCTGATGGCCATTAAAGGTAAAGGTAAAGGGTTGCGGTGCTCATCTCCGTTTCAAAGCCGAAGAGCCAGCGCTGTTCGAAGACGCTTCCGTGGTCGTGTGACCGGCATGACTAAACACCAAGGTGCACGGAACGCTGTTACCTTCCCACTGGAGTGGTACCTATTTATCTACTTGCAATTTCTTGCTTTCGAACTGCTAGGTTGGCAGGAGCTGGAACCAGAGACAGGAGCTCACTCCATCATGCGGCACCCGGGTCTTGAACTGCTGAACTACTGACCTTCCACAGCCTGCAGTTCAGCGTCTTAACCACTTGAGCCACCGCAGCTCCTTGATGGGCATCAGGACAGACAAAAAGAAACAGTTCTTTATTCAATGAGTGATTAAAGTGTGGAATTTGCTGCCAGAGGATGTAGGCATAGACAGGTTTTAAAGGGGATTTGACAGATTCATGGAGGAGAGGTCTATCAATGGCTTGGTGACTAAAGGGAACCTCCACATTCAGAAGCAGTGAGCCTCTGAATACCTTTGAGTGCCAGGAGGTAAAACTGGGGGAAGGCCTTGGCCTCTATGCTCTGTTGTTGGCCCTCCAGAGTAACAGGTTGACCACTGTTTGAGACAGGATACTGGACTAGATGGACCACTGGTCTGATCCAGCAGGGCTCTTCTTATGTTCTTACATTTAAATATATCACAAAGCTCTCTAAATGTCTTAAGGACTATGAACCTGCCTTTTTTAAAAGGAAGAAAACCAAGAGTTTCCATATAATGCATTTCAAAGTGATCTTCATGCTAGGAATTTGCCTTTTTGCAAAACCGCCAAGAAAAAGGGTACTAAAATTGTACAACTAATGACTGCACTTCTAACTGTGGAACACTCACAGCTGGGCCTGTACTGAAACCACACCTTAGCGGTTGCGCTCCTCCTCCCAGTTCCCAAAGGACTCGTGACAGATATTCAAGGATTGCATATTCCCCAGCAAGCACTCATGCTGTAGGTTTCCCCAAGCTGCTGGAAACCTCACCACAGCGCATCTGGCTCTCCCGGATGTTCCGCACTGGCTTCCCATGCAAGGTGCTGGGGTAGATGCACAGCGTCTTGTCTGATATCTGGACAGAGTGGTTCTTGGACCAGGGCAGGACCCAGCGCATGTTGCAGTCGCATGTCAGGTATTCCGTGGCAAAGTCACTGGAGGGAGGGACAGAACCACAAACTGTGGTCAGCTGAAGGCGATGGGGAGGAAGGGTTTGCGGGAGACAACAAGGCAGAATCAATGCAGAGAAATATTCAAATGCAGGACCAAAACACAGGGCAGAGGAAACTGATACACTATAGCAGAGCTGAATGCAGGGCTGCAAGCATATTACCCTAAAATGATCTATTAACGTCATTTCAAAAATAAAACAGACATTTCATTTTCTTCCATGACTCATCAGATTGTATTGCGGTGTGCAGAGCTTGGGATCCTCACAGAAGCTTTCCCAGCGGCTCCTGAGGTGACCAGATTGGCTGAAACCAAAAGTAGTGTCATTTCAAGGCAGTGAAGAAGAAGAGTTGGTTTTATACCCCGCCCTTCACTACCCAAAGGAGTCTTGGAGCAGCTTACAATCTCCTTTCCCTTCCTCTCCCCACAACAGCCCGTTTTAATGTTCTCCCGTCTATGGTGCTATATGGGCGATTTAAGAAAATTCCATATACAGATAGGTTTTGTCCATGGGGGATGAGTGCGATTGAAGATAGCAATCATGTTATTTCGCACTGTAAATTTTACGATGATCTTTTTAAAGCCTTTTCTGCTACCTTTGGAGGGGAGAGGCACATAAATAAAGGAAGAGCCTGTGAGGCAGTAAGACTTTCTGGCGACACTCCAGAGAAGTGATACTCACTCAAGGGCTTGGGAGCCACCTGTGCCTCTCTTGATATTGTTCCCCAATGTGGCACCTGCCCCGTTTCAGAACAGCGGGCCAGGCCCTTGCCCAGTGAAGCTTGTGGTTGGCAGGTGGTTCCCACCTTGAAACAGATGCCAGAGGAACAGTGAAGCTAAGAGGCTCCCAGATGTGCAGGCCTCATGCCAGGGAAGGAAGTAAATGTGGCTCTCTTGGTTGATGGTGACTATGAAAATGCTGGCCCTTCCCTTCCTGAATACCTATCTTGTTTGCGTGATCCTCATCTTCATAGGGCATTTATGTTAGCCCGTTTTAATGTTCTCCCATCTATGGTGTTATATGGGCGATTTAAGAAAATTCCATATACAGATAGGTTGTGTCCATGGGGGATGAGTGCGATTGAAGATAGCAATCATGTTATTTTGCACTGTAAATTTTATGATGATCTTTTTAAAGCCTTTTCTGCTACCTTTAGAGGGTCGATCCGAGGAGCGTAAGACCTTTATACTTTTAGCCTCAAATAAGAGCGAAATCATTGAATCTGTAGCAAAATTTCTCTACTAGGCCTCTAGGAGGAGATGTTCCTTCTGATCACAGATCCCAGTGTATTTTATCTGGATTTGTGCTGTAATGCCAATAAAGGCCTGCGTGTGTGTGTGTGACTATGAAAATGACTCTCCGTGAGCCACATAATGAGTACCTCTGCTCCATGAGAAAGAGACAGCCTCTCAAATGCCCACTGAAAAGCTGGGGCATAGGAGGCTGGCAGACCTTGTGCCTAAGGCCCAGGGCTGTGCTCCTTGAGCCCCAATGAGACAGGACTGTCATCTGCTGGTTTGTGGTGGGACTGTGTGTGCACAGGGGCCAGAGAAATGATGCTCAAGCCCTGTTCCCATCTGAGAGCCAAACTAGATCCAGAGGGTGGCCATTTCAGCACCTGAAGGGGTGCCTGTTCTTGTTGCCTTGCAGGCCCAATCAGGACTGAGCCCAAATGGCATTCTTAAAACACCCACATGTGGCTTTAGAATGGTGGTGGCATTCCCAGACTGGTCCCGGGGACACCATCACATCTAGTTTGGCCCTGATTTAAAGGGTATCTGGTTCTTTTGGTTAAAGACAAGCAGGATGTCACAAGGAACTGTGTGCCAGGCACAATCAGGACACCACCACCCCTCGCCCCAGGAGTCTATGAAATCTAAGGGTCTTCTCTGGGTATGTAGAAATTCCTGTCCTGTCTGTAAGTGGTCCTAGTGTGGTCATCCTGGGAGGAAAATGTACTAAATGAATAAATATTAAATAAATATCCCATCCTTTTGTATAGACAACTGTTAACACAATTCATGGCATGCTTACCATACTGGAACCAGTGCATGAATCATGCCCAGCTCCTAGGATGTTCTGGTCCCTGTGCATGCTTAGAACATAGCCTAGAACCTTCAAAGACTTGGGCTGGGAGGAGGAATCCTTGCGTGGAAAATTGGATGTCCCCCTCCAACTTCTAGCATCAGGTGGTATCCACCGGTGGACTAATCCCGGCACTGCTCCTCTTCCAGATTCCAATTCTGTGACCTCTGCCCTGCATGCCCATTTTCATCTGCAATTGGGGGTGGGGGGCGAGGATACTCACATGACTTTCAGAGACAGCAGTTGGTCAAAGACCCCAGGCTGGAGGCTGGAGAAAATATTGTCTGACACGTTCCTGACAAAGCAGAACATAAGAACATAAGAGACGCCAATGTTAGATCAGGCTAAAGGCCCATCCAGTCCAACACTCTGTATCACACAGTGGCCAGAAATACCAGTGCCATCTGGAGGTCCACCAGTGAGGCCAGGACATTAGAAGCCCTCCCACTGTTGACCCCCCCCTAGCACCAAGAAGACAGAGCATCACTTGCCCCAGAGCCCCTATCTATACCTTGTGGCTAATAGCCACTGATGGACCTCTGCTCCATATGCTTATCTAATTCCCTTTTGAAGCCGTCCATGCTTGTAGCCGTCACCACTTCCTGTGGCAGTGAATTCCAAGTGTTAATCACTCTTTGGGTAAAGAAGTACTTCCTTTTATCCATTCTAACCCGACCACTCAGCAATTTCATTGAGTGCCCACGAGTTCTTGTATTGTGAGAAAGGGAGAAAAGTACCTCTTTCTCTATCCTATGCATAATCTTATAAACCTCAATCATGTCTCCCCTCAGTCGTCGTTTCTCCAAGCTAAAGAGCCCTAAGCGATTTAACCTTTCCTCATAGGGAAAGTGTTCCAACCTTTTTATCATTCGAGTTGCCCTTTTCTGCACTTTTTCCAAAGCTATAATATCCTTTTTAAGGTGTGGTGACCAGAATTGCACACAGTATTCCAAATGAGGTCGCACCATTGATTTATATAGGGGCATTATGATATTGGCTGATCTGTTTACAATACCCTTCCTAATAATCCCCAGCATAGCATTGGCCTTCTTTATTGCAGTCACACACTGTCTCGACATTTTTAGTGAGTTATCTACTACAACTCCAAGATCTCTCTCTGGGTCAGTCTCTGCCTGTTCAGACCCCATCAATGTGTATTTATATTTAGGATTTTTGGCTCCAATGTGCATCACCTTGCGGTTGGCCACATTGAACCCCATTTGCCATGTTGATGCCCACTTGCCCATCTTTGACAGATCCCTTTGGAGTGCCTCACAATCCTCACTGGTTTTCACCACCCTGAACAACTTCGTATCATCCGCAAATTTAGCCACTTCACTGCTTACTCCCATCTTCAAATCATTAATGAACAAGTTAAAAAACAGTGGACCAAGTACTGATCCCTGCGGTACCCCACTGCTTACCACCCTCCACTGAGAAAATTGCCCATTTATACTCACTCTCTGTTTTCTATTAATTAGCCAGTTTTTGATCCATAAAAGGACTTGTCCTTTTATCCCATTTTTTTTTAGCTTACTTAGGAGCCTCTGATGAGGAACTTCACTTGGTCACGTCACTTGGTCACGGCTGGTCAGATTATCCATCACCGAGAGCAGGGCTGTGTGTGCCCCTGCCCTCCATCTCCATGACTCTGTATTTTATTTATTTAGGCTATTTATACAGAGGTGCACGGGCAGAAGAGGCTGCAGCCTTCTTTTCTATGCTGTTTTCTCCTCCTTAAACCACTTGGGGAGCTGCTATTAGCTCTACAGCAAAACTGACCTGCTGCCACGTAACTAACATGATTTCACAAACGGAGTCCATCGCAACTCCACAGGCTGGTTTAAGGATGGGTGCAGGAGGCATGGAGAGGAAAGTTGCAGCCACTTCTGCCCATGTGCTATTGTCCCTACCCAAATACTCACAAGCGGATGAGGTTGGTCAGTCCCTGGAAGATGCCGGTGCTGAGACAGCCAATGCGGTTGTTGGACAGGTCTCTGGGAATAAACAGAGGAACCACGTGAGGACTGTGAGAAGTCACAGACACCATCTACACTAAGTCTGCCAAGAGGAAATGGCAAGCCCCAGGGACAACTGCATGGGGCAGAATGCTGAAAAAGAGGTCACCCCTGGGCAGATGCCAGAACCAAAAATGCAGCCCCCCTTGGATACTGTTCTGTATTTCGAACCAACCTGAGCAGGTCTTTGAACATAAAATTATAAACAAAGCAGTGGATGCCGCCACATCGACAGGACTGGGAAAACCCAAACTTTCCTACCTAGATGGCAGCCATCCAGGCTTTGCTGTGATCTTTCCCAAAATTTCACAGCAAAGCAGGTTTGAGGAGGAGCGGAGAAAAGCTAGAGGAAACCCAAAAGGCACAGAGCCCCACAATGCTGAGGGGAAGGAGGGGAGGCACTTCCCAAAAGCATTGAACCCAGGGCAAATAGCCTATGTGGGAAATGCATTTATTTATTTATTTGGCTCCTATCCCACCCTCCCTGCTGCAGCAGGCTCAGGGCGGCTCACAACAAAATGACTAGGAAGGGCTTGCACTTTGCCTTGTCGCCAAAGTCAAGACAGCGAGAATGGCCAATGGTATCAGCAAGGGAGAAGGACAGCCTCATGAAACCCCCTCTCTGTGGAAAAAAACTAAGGCAGCACCGATGGGCATTGCTAGAGAGGAACACCAAATGGAACCAGCCCTCTGGTGTGGCCCTTTGATACAGATACCAGGTAAGGGAATGGAGTGAAAGATCTCCATCAGAAAACCCGTCACTGCTGTGACTGAAAACGACTTTGTCAAAATATTTCCAAGGTACCTTGAAGACATAAGGTAGGAGATAAATCCTTGAAAGAAAGAATTTTTTTAAAAGCGCATTTCCTCATGTACATTTCCTTTTAGGCAACACTGGCCCGGACAATATACAGTGGTGAAAAATTAACATGAAACCCACATGCCATCGGGGGGGGGGGTATACCTTATGAACAACACACAGGGGGGGAGGGTATACCTTATGAACAACACACAACAGGCATTAATGAACTAGGACCCACGTGATACAGCGCTGAGAGAAGAGAGAGATGGGGTTCATAAAGGTGACCAAACAATGGGCAAATCTGAGGGCTGGAATGGGGTTAGGAAGGGAGAGGAGGAAATGGGTTTGGCTGGTTCAGAGTGGTGGTGGTGGGGAACAGGATGGGTGGTACTTACAAACGCTTCAGGTTTGAGAGGCCAAGGAAAGCTCCAGGCTGGATAGTGCTGATCAAGTTGTTCTTGAGGTCTCTGAGAACGGAGAAGAGAACACACAAGGAATTAGTCCCGTGATGACACGAGGACGGTATTTTTCCCAACAAGAAGTCCAGCCTCTCTTTATGCTGAGGCAAGGGCAAAAGTCCCTTCTTGGAATGACTCTAGCCATGCAGTCTCAAAGCAGCAGCAGCACTGACTCAAGTCACAGCTGACTTCCGGTGACTCCTCAGGAGGTTCTCAGGGCAAGAGTTCTCCAGAGGTGGTTTGCCATCGCCTGCCCCTGCGTGGTGACCCTGGACACCCTTGGGGCTCTCCCATCCACGTCCTAACCGGGGCCGACCCTGCTCAGCTTCCAGGATCTCACGAGATCAGGCTAGCCTGGGCCGTCCAGGTCAGGGCACTGCCTTCTGCATTTATCCACAGATACTGTAGATACGTCGTTTTCTGGCTAAAGGCACAGTGGAACCTCCTTATTATCACCATCATATGAGCTTTTGTGTATTTATCCCAATGGAGAACTTTTCTTGCTAAAGGGAAGCCGAGAGGCTAACTTGGAAGCTGGTCTCAAATGGAGGCCATGAATAGAGATGTCCAGGCAAACGACTTCCTGCCCTGGAAGCGACACCTGTTTTCATTTTTGAATTCCTGGAGGAAGAGTTCTGTGCAAAGTCCTTCCAGCTCAGCACGTCGTTTCCAACAGTGGCCAGCCAGATGCTTTGGGGAGCCCACAAGCCGGGTACTGGCAGCAGCCTCTTCCAGCGGTTTGCTCCTCTGCTGCTGTTCATAGTATATCTGAACATGGAGGTTCAATTTAACCATTATGGCCAATGGCCGTTGGAAAATCTATCTTAAGTGTTTCTTACCCCCTTCCAAAGGCGTCTGAACCAATTACCATTGTCGTATCTTGTGGCAATAAACTCCGTATGTTCGCATTATGCCGAGCACCCCACTCTGCACCATAACCACATCCTGAAACCTCATAGTTAGCTCATGGCTCCTCATATCCAATGTACAACCTGATGACATCAGACTATGCAAACATTTTGCCACAGGTTGTAGAGGGAGGAATTCAACAAGGGACTACTAATTTTCCAGCAGCAATTTGGCCAGGTCTGTTGTAGAGTATGCACTGACCTGGATGGCCGAGGCTAAATCTCATCAGATCTCAGAAGCTAAGGAGGGTCAGCCCAGGTTAGTAGCTGGATGGGAGACTGCCAAAGAAGGCTCTGAAGAAGGCTAGCTTCCTTTCCTTCCCTTCTGTACCCTTAGAAGCTCATCGATTCATGAATCTTGAGCAGCAGGAAACACTTCTTTTTTTTTAGATGCAAGGGCTAAAAGGACTGAGATAAATCTTGCAATTGCTAGAGTGATCTTGGGGTCCTTATCACTGAGCAAAAGAGCCAGCGTTTCTGGAGTACAGGGGGACAATTGGTTAGTAGCAGAAGTAGGCCACGGCAAACCACTTCGGCTTCTCACTTGCCTTGAAAATCCTTGGGGGCTGCTGTAAGTTGGCAGAGACCAGTGTTCCCTCTAAGCTGAGTTAGTGTGAGCTAGCTCACAGTTTTTGAGCCTCCGGCTCACACATTTTTGTCTTGGCTCAGGAAGGAGGGCTCCAGACCAAACTAGTTTATCCAGCAGCGAAATCTCTTGCTCACAACTTTAATGCCAGTAGCTCACAAAGTAGAATTTTTGCTCACCAGACCCCACAGCTTAGAGGGAACATTGGCAGAGACTCGATGGCACTTTCTGCCACCATTGTAAAGTGTAGTTCTGCTGTCAGAGTGGTGCATAATGCATCATTACCTACATTATAAAGAGGAGGCAACAGTGGCCAATTTCTACCCAAGACAGGCAGGCGTTTGACATCAGCTCCCCTTAACCCAAGGGCCTTAATTCCCGTTAACCTCACATCAAAGAGCGTTTGTAGCTTCAGGAGATTGGTTATTCTGTCATTCATTAAGAACCCTCAGATGGACTCCTCCCCAGTAACTGGTGATTCTCTTTCCCACCCTCAGTTTATGCAACGTAATAAGGAAGAACAACACATACACACACAATAGACCACCCATGTGTTTTAGAGGTCTGGCCAGACAGTTTGAGGGCGGTAGTAACCAAGCTACCCTCTTGTCTCACACCCATGTGTCGCCCACATGGTCATTACAATCTGGGGGAATCCAAGCTTTCAGGGTTGGTTCCTTTAAGAGCTGTTTTCTAGGCCTCGTGGCCACTGACAGATTTGAAACTTTGAAGGAAAAATGCTTGAAAAGGATGGGAAAAAAGCGAGTCAAACAAAGGTCAAGTTCAGGGTGGAGAGAGTGAGTACAAGTGAACATCAAAACAGGAGCTCTTGTTCACTGACATCAGCAAAAACGACTAGCGGTTTTCAATGCAAATAATCAAGTGCACCAGTATTTTAAAAAATCATGGTGTTTCAACTGGCGTATTACAAGAGAATAAAAGAAGATACGTAGAAGGGATCATTTTGTCAAATTGCAAAAATGAATTAGTATCATACTGGAATAGCATTTTTCCAAGATAACATGGTACCGTACGTTTTATCATCCCCCCCTCCCAGTCTTTCGTAACGGACAATGCAATTAAAGATACCCCCAAATGTTCCTTCTTTAAATGCACACACAAATGTTGGTTTGTCCTCCTTGTTACCCCCTGACGCCCCCCTCCATTGGCTTCTGGTGGGTTGTTTGTCTTCTGTTTTGCTTAAAGCTCTGTGCAAGATTATACAAATTCAGCTGATATGAGTATGTGTTTAAACAATCATATGGCACAATCATGGATGTCAGCAACAATTCCTATGTTTGCAGTATTTCCCCTTAAGAAATTCGTGCCATAACAGAACTGTCTAAGACAGCATGTGGACCCTTTTATGATTTTTCAAGTTTTCCCCCCCCCCCAATGAGAATGAGCTGGGAATGCTCTCACAAAGGGTGAACTTGTGTCATGGTTATTGTCAAAAGTTGATTCTTCTTTACGGGAAAAAAAAATTGGATAAAGCACAAGTTCACTCATTGTAGCCTGGCACTTACTATGTTCATACAAGCGATGCCAAGAATATGGTACATTCCATGCAGCGAGATGTACTCAATTGGAAGCCTTTTCCTCATGGGTTCTGTGCTGACCAAGGCCTTCCCCCCCCCCTACACTCCAGCTTCTCCACGGGTGTTGCTAACTGCAGAAATTTGCTAGCAGTAAGATAAGAATCTGGACTCTGGGAGACACACAACCCTCTTGCTGTTCCCTCTGCCTCCCCCCCCCCACACATCTCTACAGACTTGAGAAAGGAGAGATGCAGACCCCACCAAAGGCAGCTGCTACCCTAAATCATCCTTTTAAAGTTCAGAAGAACAAGAGGAACGGGAGGCACTATTCTCACAGTCCCAAAAAGACAGCTGGAATGAGAAACCAGGATTGGCAAGCATTAAAAAAAATACACCACCCTCTTCTTGAGGGTGAGCACATGCGGTGCCCGTGCTAGGGAAAGACCCCTTCTGCATAATCCAGAGGGCTGTTGCCGGTCAGAACTGACTTACGACACATGGCAGGCCACTGACTCAACTCAGTGCAAGGCAGCTGCCCCACAGTTAAGGCAGACAAGATGTTGGAAGTTCATGATTGGAACTCCTCGGTAAACAGGAACCGCTTGGCTCTCTGCTTTGGACAGGGACTGGGAAGGCATGGGAACGGGTGCTGATCCTCTTGCACAGTTTCCGTAACTCGAAACAGCTCCACAGAGTGGCTCTAGAGTCAGTGTGCTGTCACACAGGGATGTCGACCTCCTTTGTTATGAGGGCCGGAACTGACATAAACGAGACCTTGTTGGGCCGGGCCATGTGTGTCATATAAAAGGTAATGCCAGGGAGCAGAGATATAAACTTTATAAAGGACACAGACAAACACAATTAAAGTTTTTTTAAAACTTTAAATAACACATTTCCAGTGAGTTAGACACCCCCTGGCACCGCTGATTTGAAAAAGCCACCAGTGACAGGGGGAGGAAATGGCTGCCATGTGGGTGGGAAGATCTTGAGATTGCCACCCACACACCAGCCTTCCCAGCTTTACTGTAATCTTTCCCAAAACATTGAAGCAAAGCACGTTTGATAAAGGCTGGAGACAAGGTGGTGAAATCCTCATAGGTGCTCAAATGTACTACAAATCTGTGAAGCGGAAGAAACACTTCCCAGTAACACTGAATCTGGGGCAGCTAACCTGTGCCTCCCTCAGCCCACCCACCTCATACGATTTTCACTGTGATAAATGGAGGAGGAGAGAACATACTGCTCCAAACTGCTTGGAGGAAGGGTGGGTTAAAGTGCCATAAATAAATGAACATACAAACAAGGCTGCATATGTGGAGCCTTCACATCTCCCCCAATGAGGCAAATCTGACAAGGCAGCACACATAACTCACAATTTCCCACTACATCCTCACAATGAGAGACTGGGACAGGGGCACAGAGGGATTCGAACCCAGATCTCCCAGACCCCAGGTCAGTCACTTGCTTCAGATTGCAAGATAGGAAGGGTTAAACGCACACACAGAGACCTGGTATTGTGTAGTGGGTTGACAATGCCAGACAAATATTATGGTGACCCAGGTTCAAATCCCCACTCTGATCATGGGAATTTGCTGGCTGACCTTGGGCAAGTGGCAGACACACCCTCTGCCTAAGCTACCTCACAGGATTGTTGTGAGGGCAAAATGAAGCAGAGGCAATAATGTAAGAAGAAGAAGAGGACTCCTTCACTACTTGAAGGCATCTCAGAGCAGCTTACAATCTCCTTTCCTTTCCCCTCCCTGCAACAGACACCCTGTGAGGTAGGTGGGGCTGAGAGAGCTCTTTTGAGAACTGCTCTTTTTCAAGAACACCTCTGACAGAACTATGGCTTGCCCAAGGTCATCCAGCAGGTGCAAGTGGAGAAGTGCGGAATCAAACCTGGTTCTCCGAGATTAGAGTCCACTCACTTAACCACCACACCAAACTGGCTCTCTGCTTTGGGTCCCCAATGGGGAG